AGATAGTTAATTTATATTAGTTTATCCACTTGCCCAGCCACCCTTCACCCACCACCCTACCTCTCCGGTCAGGTCGCCGCCGGACACCACCCCATAAAACCTAACCCTACCGGCCTCACGCCACTAAATCTCAGCCTCCTTCCCGGAAACCCTAGCGGCGGACCACTGTCGCGTTTCACTGGTGGCTTTTTTGACGATGCGATCGATGGCGAACTGGAAGGCGAACATCTGGAGTCTTACGGCGACGCTTTTCCCGTGGAGAACAGTTCGATCAAGCATTCAGGGACGGAGAAGACAGGTTTGGCACAGCCGATTCATTTTCTGGGGTTGCCACATCCAGCCATTCCCCAGACTCACGCGCCTGCCCGACGGCCTGTGCAGGCTGCTCCGACGCCAACGGGACAAGTGCGTGCTGCCCGCGCCGACATGGGCCCCACACGCCACCTCCTGGGCATGTACAGATTCCTCGTGTCATGAGGAGACCACCCAGACCACTGGTTTCCCCATCAACAGGCCCGTTCGCATGGAATTATGGGAGACAGACTGGTGTAGCGGGAGCTAAGATGTTCAGTTCACGTTTTACAGTTGAGGCGAAGGAGTTTGTGGTGTCTTGATTCAGGTATTGTTAAGTTTTCAGAATGGGGATCGAAGTTTTCGGATGCTATTTGCATGGGTCGTTTTGGCGCCGTTTGGATGGTAAATATGATGGATAAGCTGCGAGTGACTAGTAAGACTGTGGATTTCGTCGCCAAATTTGATGAGTCTTCTCGAGCCTTCTTGGCTCAACGTTGTGCCAACAGTCGTGGCAGGTTTATGATGATAGCACAGTATGGGTAGAGGCGTCGAAATGGAGCCGTGATGGTGCCAGAAGGAGTGAATGGAGAGGGATGGATATCGGTCTCACGTGTGTTTCAGGCAGTTGTGGATTCATTTGTGGCCGATGATAAGATCAAGCGTCGTATAGCTGAAGAAAGGTGTCGACTTGGGAGGACCTACGCCGATGTTAGGCGAACGTCGGGGGGTCGCAGAATGCCAATCAGCGGGTGTTGTTGCATAAGGGAAGAGTGAATACCGAGAGAAGTGTTCCTAATGCGGTATTGAGGGCTCGTATCCAGGCTTTGAAAGGGGAGTTAGATGAGTTAGTTAAGATTGTGGATAGTGGGTATATGGTGGGGTCCAGAAACACTTACTGCCATAAGTGTGGGGTGGGATTGGACGAGTCTCTAGATAATGGTGACTTAGCTGCGAAGTTGGATTCTAAGGAGCTGTCACCTATAAGGACCCAAACCAAAGATGAACAGGTGGGGGACGATTCTAAGGGCGAGTCACAGATGCGGACTGAAGTAGATATTTCATCTGGTGATGGCGATAAGGTGGGGTTGGAGGTAACAAATAGGGGTGAATTGGTTTCAATGTTTGAGGTACATCAAGAGACGAAGTTCGGGGCTAAAGTAGGGGAGCCGGGGACTACGTTTCTGGATTCAGAGGTTTTGGAGGCGACCAATTGTTTCATGAGTGAGGGCGCGTTGGGCGAAAGGTCATACTCAGTGATTGAGAGGCAACTTGGCAGGATAGGCTCAACTTCATTGGTTAAGAATACTTATTGTAGGAGATCTGCTAAGTCTTCGAAGGAGGGGGAGCCATGGAATGATAAGGTGTTGGTGGTGTGGGTGGATGGAGTCGAGGACACAGAGAGCGATGTAGTACGGGTGGAGGAAGAGGGACATTTTATTGATCCCATCTATGTGGGGGAGATGGTGGAAGTTAGTGCACTTGACATCAAATCGCAATCGTGAAACTGGGTTCTTCAAAATATTATGGATTTTAGTAAGATGGTAAGTGTGTCATGTGATGGGTACGAAATTACACTTTTGCAATTATTTGAGGATTTGGAGGCCAGGAGGGGAC